ACTACAGTAGTTCTTTCTTGCCTATCAAGCATAGTTTATGAGCACACACATATCTGGGACAATAGTAAATAAATGCACAGCTACAATGCCTGCTTCACCAATATTTTATACTGCCTAATAAAATTAGCAAAATCACACATTAAATTTATAACAAAATAAATTGTAACATGTGTTAAATGTTCTATAACCTAATTATAAATGCACCACTGAGTATACACTAATGCATAAGTAGTCCAAATTTAGGAGACAACTCCTAATGTTAAAAGTATAAATTAGTGAAAAACTCTCATTTATCTCTCTCTCTTTGATATATATACATATATATTATATATTATATATTATATATATATATATATATTATATATTACATATATATATATGTATATATATGTGGAAAATCCACAAAGAAATGGGAAAGGAAGATGAACATTCGGCTGTTTAAAGCCGTTCTCAACATCAGTCTGGTGTCGACAACGGCTTTAAACAGTCAAAACGTTCATCTTCCTTTCCCATTTCTTTGTGGATTTTCTGCATACAAATGATCAGTGTTTCGTGATTGTCTATTGCATATGTATGTACGTATGTGTATATGTGTGTGTATGTGTGTGTATATGTGTGTGTGTGTATGTGTAAATCACGAAAATTAACATGTGATGAAAAATGTGACAGTGCCAGACCACGAAGGGAGTATTGAAACAGGAATTTCCTTAACATTTTCACCCACCGATGACTAAGCATGGAGTCAAAAGTTTACTAGTTCAATACCCACTGATGACTAAGGATGGCGTCAACAATTAAAAACATTTGGTTTTGTGAAAACCGCGGTTTTGGACATTATATGCATAAACACTTGTAGGGATTTTCATTGCGAAGACATTGATACCAAAATGAAAGACCTAGGACGAGAATTGAGGTAATAAAGTTGAAAAGAGTAAACACATGTTATTGCTCTCTATTAGTGCTCACTGGGTTAACGCATCACCACTTTTCTCTGTTTGCTGTGGGTGGTACGTCGGGATTTTGGAATTTATATTTACATATACACCTGTAGGGAATTCTATTGCAAACACAATGATACAAAAATGAAAGACCTAAGACGAGAATTGAGGTGACCAAAGTGAAAAAAGTGTACACATTTCATTGCTCATTGCTCCCGGGTAACACTCTCTCACTTTGTCTGCTTTGTGCGGGTGGTAGGCCGGGCTTTGGGACTTCACATGCATTTAATCGTGTAGAGAATTCTATTGCGAATACATTGATATCAAATTGGGAAACCTAGGATGAAAATTAAGGTGACAAAGTTGAAAAGAACATACACTTCTCAGTATTACCGCTCTCTCTAATGGATGGCCCGGCGCTCCTCCCTGCTCTCATCACCTGCTTTCATCACATCGGCGGGTAGAGCGCGCTACGGGTTTTGACAATATATGCACATGTACTCCTGTTGGGAATTTTATTGCGAACACAATGATATCAAAATGAAAGACCTAGGACGAAAATTGAGGTGACCAAAGTGAAAGCAGAGAACACATGTTATCGCTCAAGTGCGTTTCCGGGGTAACTTTATGTTTGCTGCGGGTGGTAAGCCGGGCTTTTTGAGTTTATTTGCTATGAGTTCTGTAGAACATTCTATTGCAAACACATTGATACAAAATTGAAAAACCTAGGACGAGAATTAAGGTGACAAAGTTGAAAAGGATCTACACTTTTCAGTATTACCACACACTCCCGCGAGCTCCCGCGGAACATCCAAAACCACTAGGGTAGGAGAAATGCTCGCTGGCCCAAAGCGCGAAAGTGTTAAGTACTTTCGTATTTAATAATACATCATCAGAAGGGTCTGAAGATGTATTATTAGATACAAAAGTACTTTAGGAAATTCCTGTTTCAATTCTTCCTTCGCGGTCTGACACTCATATTATATTATATTATATTATATTATATTATTTTTATTATATATATATATATATATCTATCTTTCTCTGCTCTGTCATGTATATACTGGATATATATATGTGTGTGCGTGTGTGTGTCAGTGTGTGTAAATACCTAAATGTAATTACCGAAGTGTAGTTACAGGATAAGAGCTACGCTCGTGGTGTCCCGTCTTCCCAGTACTCTTTGTCGTATAACGCTTTGAAACTATTGCCGGTTTTGGCCTCCACCACCTTCTCACTTAACTTGTTCCAACCGTCTACTACTCTGTTTGCAAAAGTAAACTTTCTAATGTTTTTGGCACCTTTGTTTCCTTAGCCTGAATCTGTGTCTTCTTGTTCGTGAAGTTGCTGGTTTCAGGAATTCCTCTTTGTTAATTTGGTCAATTTCTGTTATTATTTTGTAAATGTGATCATATCACCTCTTTTTCTTCTATCTTTTAGTTTTGGCATATTTAACACCTCTAGCCTATCTTCATAACTATTGTTTTTCAGTTCAGAAGCTATTTTATAGCATGCCTTTGTATTTTTCCAGTTTATTCATTTGCTTCTTGGGATACGGGCACCATACAACTGCTGCATATTCCAACTTTGGTCTCACAAAGGCTGTAAACAATTTCTTTAGTATTTCACCTTCCATGTATTTAGAAGCAATTATGAAACTGGAAAGCGTAGCATAGGCTCCTCACACAATGTTCTTTATGTGATCATGAGTATTTATTAGGGGGTTCTAATAAATACTCTGAATACTTTCGCTGACAACAAAAGCTTCACTTCGGAAGATAGCTTTACTAGGAAAATTATTCTGAGTGAATTAAAATTAGATTGCAATAAATAGATGAATGAAAGCAGTCCCATTAGCCACATTCCTTGGGGTAGGGAGAGGGTTACAAGGAATGCCATCAAGATGAACACTTCTCTTAATAACAACTCCAGTTCTCAGAATAGCAGGATTACAGAAAGGACACATGACCACAATTCCATAGAAGACATTACTGCAGGTACACTGGCAGTCAGGAATAGAGGTGACATGGTCAGGAGGTCAAGAAGGATAAGAAAATCGGACCCAGGGTAGCAGCCTCATTAGACACTGAGATGTAAGTCTCATCCCAACCACACACTCTCAGACCTTGACAAAGCACTCACGAGAGTGTAAAAGACTTGGTGTGAATTCTTTACGTAAATTTCACAAATACACAAGTGTGGGTTTTATGTTATCATGTCTGTGAGAAGACATTACCATTACTCATATGATATTTATCCACATTAAATTCAATTTGCCAAGTGGTGATCCATACATTTACTTTGTCCAGGTCTTCTTGAAGGGCAAGACAATTGTTTATCTTCCTTAGTATCTTAGCAGCATCAGTGACCATATTCATATAATTCTGCAATCCTTCTGGTAGGTTATTTATGTAGACAATGAATATTACTGGTGCAAGAACTGAACCCTGTGGTATTCTGTTCGTGATATTTCTCCAGTCTGATACATTCTCTCTGATTAATGCCCTCATTTTTCTGTCGGTAATAATTTTTCATCCGTGTTGGAAGCCTCCCTGTCGCTCCTCTAATATGTTCCAGTTTCCAGAACAACCTCTCATGTGGAACTTTGTTGAAAGCTTTTTTTTTTTTTAGGTCCAGATAAATGCAGTTAACTCCACCTTCTCTTTCCTGTACAATTGCTGTGGCTTTCCATAGAAGCTAAGTAAATTCGTTACACAAGATCCTTTAAATCGAAAACCTTACTCTGTCTGTTACTACAGAATATCTTTTTTCCCCAGGTATTCTACCCATTTGCTTTTAATTATTTTTTCCAATATTTGAACTACTACACTTGTCAATGATACTGGTCTACAATTAAGAGGGTCTTTCCTGCTGTCACTTTTATAGATTGGAACTATGTTAACCTTCTTCCATATATCTGCCTGGATTCCTGTACACAACGATGACTGAAAAGTCAGTTGAAGTGGAATGCTGAGCTCGGGTGCACAATCTCTCAGAACCCAAGGTAAAACTTCATCTAGGCCAACTGCTTTGTTCCTAACTTAGCTCCTTCAGCAAGTTTTCCCACTTTGTGTCTTGATGCCTCTATGTTGTGTCTGGTGCTCTGACAATTTCATTTTTCACAAACACATTTTGGAACTGTTCATTTAATGTTTCACACATTTCCTTTTCATGTCCCATTTTTAACCTCTGAATTTTAGCCTTTACCTGCACTTTGCTTTTAATGAATTTATTTAATAGTTCTGGTTCTGTTTTACATTTGTCCACTATTCCTTTATCGAGAATGCTCTCTGCCTCTCTCCTCACTGCCGTGTAGTTGTTTATACCTTCTTTGTATTACTGGTATGTTCGAAGATTTGACCTCTTCCTATATTTATTATATTTTGTGTCTTTTGGTCTCTGGCCCTCTTGCAATTTCTACTGAACCAGTCCTGTTTTCTAGTTCTGCATCTCTGTTTTGGTATAAATTTGTTTGTGCCTTTATCATATATTTTCACAAAACTCGACATACCTCTCATTTACTTCCTTGCATAAGAAAGTGTTGTACCTGGATGGGGTTTTGGGATTTCTTCTACTCCCCTTCTCCCTACTCCTACTCCTGCCTTGTGAGAGCTTGGTCCAACAGACTGTTGCTTGGAGCGGCCCACAGGCCCACATATCCACTACAGCCCAGTTGGTCCAGCACATCTTGCAGAAAATTATCCAGCTTCTTCTAGAAGACTTCTAATTACAGTGGGTGTGTGTGAGTGTAATTGCCTAAGTAATTACCTAAGTGTAGTTACAGGATGAGAGCTATGCTCGTGGTGTCCTGTCTTCCCAGCACTCTTTGACATATAAGGCAGTGAATCTACTGACAGTTTTGGCCTCCACAACTTCCTCGCTTAACTTGTTTTAACCGTCTTCCACTCCGATTGCAAAATAAAACTTTTGAACATTTTAGTCAGCACCTTTGTTTCCTTCTTAACTTGAGGTTATCTTCAGATAGTTTTGGGGCATCCCCATGGCCCAGTCCTTGACCAGGCCTCCTTTTTGTTATACACCCCCAGGAAGCAGCTTGTAGCAGCTGTCTAACTCCCAGGTACCTATTTACTACTAGATAACAGGGGCATCAGAGTGAAAGAAACTCTGCCCATTTGTTTCCGCCTCCACCGGGGATTGAACCCAGAACCTCAGGACTACGAATCCAAATTTTTATATCACATATCATAAAGGTTATCAAGGAAGAAACATTATTAGAAAATAAATTACATTAATTTAAATAATATCTTGCACTGCCAAAGCATAGCTAGGCTTCAGTTCTCTTGTATTTGGAAGAAAAAAATTAGTTTTGGAATCCCATTAATATCACGTATCCTTGGTAGAATTGATGAGCATTTAAAGTATATCAGATGGCATGATTAAATAATCATGGCATAATTTAGAGATACAAATTATTGGATATATATATTGTACAATCTATTGGATATATATAGTACGGAGATTCTATCAAATATTTAATATCCTTACTTTAAAATTATTAATGAATCTGATTAATGCACATGCCAAAAATATAATACTGTAATACAAATCTAAATTTTTGTGGTTCTTCTTTCATTACAAAAAAATACTATACCAGCTATTTTCCTTTATATTGCTCTACCAGGTAAATTGTGACAAAAACTTGGCATAACGCAGCCCACACACAGATGATGACGATCCAAGCAGAGTGCTGGAGTGGTGCAGAAAAAGGGTTCTTCACTCCCATACCAATGTGCCGTAGAGTCATCTTACGGGCATAGTAAACTAGAGTGGCTGGTACGACATACTGCAAGAAGATATTGGCTTTAAATATACATGAAAAGTGTTATTTTGGGCAGATTTTCTCGGCTACTCCTACGGTAAGTTCCTGCTGTTATGCTGGACAACGAATCGTGCCGTCAGCCAGAATGACACTTCAGCACACAAGCATCACAGTAAACTTTCCAAACATTTCTGAAGAGTCATAATGGTACACTACTTGAGAGCCCTAGAGATCAACTAACTAAATTCAGCAATAAAAGGCTTAAAATCTCATTCAATGCCTTTACAAGTCTTCTTTGGTATCTCTGAGATCATGAAATACTTTTAACAACTGGTTGGCTCATTTGACTGCCTATCCATTCCACTACCAGGTGGCAGCAGCTTAGTCACAAAACAATCCACCTCACTGAAACCTGTCAAAGTATTCCTGATAGAAAGAATTTGCAAATACCAAATGAAAGTACCATGGTCAACAGAGAGGCCGTCTGCTAAGAAAGGCACTTTTTGTATATTAATATACACTGAAAATTATTTAGTGCAATGAGGTGACCTGAACCAGCTTTCTAGTGAATCCTACACACCTACATTATTTAATCATTCAATCTATCATTCATTTATTTATTATTCTACAATCATTCATTTATTTATCATTCTACAATCATTCATTATTTAAAGACTGTGTTACCTTTAAGAAACATTTTTTCATTATCTAAATGAAAAATGCTCCTAGAAATTTGAAAGAAAAGTTAAACTTTAATTCACATATGAGCCATTTGCAATGAGTGAATGACAACAACACCAGAGCCCTGTGATAATGCACCACTGCCGGGTGTGCCGCCCTGGTGGCCTGATTCGGCAACACAAAACATCACATCCAGTAACACAAGTTTCATATCCTGTATAGCATTCTCTTGCTCAAAATATACAGTATACAGCTGATCTTATAGGTAAGAGTTGGAGTACAAAATCCACTTTAAAACATCTTTCAATAAATGTTTGATGAAACCATACTAAAATAGTTTTTGTAAAATATTCTTGTAAAATAGGGGTGCGACCTATGCGAGGGCATCTTTTACGCCAGCAAATACGCTAAGCAGATTTGTTACACAGGATCTTCCTGTTCGAAAACCATACTGTCTGTTTGTTATTACGTCACTACTCCCCAGGTGTTCTACCTATTTGGTTTTAAAAAATATTTCTAGTGTTTTGCCTACCACACTTGTTAATGGTATGGGTCTATAAATTAGAGGTTCTTCTCAGCTACCATTTTTACAGATTGGAACTATGCTTGCCTTTTTCCTTGTCTGCTAAGATTCCTGAGCACAAGGATGTCTAGAATATGATTTGGAGTGGAAATCTCAGATCAGTTGCACATTCTCGCAGCACCCAAGGTGAACCTCCATTAGGTCCAACCCGCCAAACCCATGACGAAACTACGACGTTGCTACAATGTTCCCACAAGGTTTAACACCTTCTAACAATTGTAACAACCAATATAGCAAGCTGTAACAATGTTCTAACAAGTCACAAAAACGTTATAACGAGATGTAACAACTTTACTACAAGTTGTAACAAGGGAATCATAGGGACCGTTACGTTGTGTGTTTGCAGGGAATTGCTTTATTTCTCCCTTCCCCAGAGTAATTTTTCCACTTCGTCTTGAGATACAACTATGTATTCTAAGATGTACTCTGGAATTGGCATTGGGTCCAGCTCTCTGAAATCCTCATTTTGTACAACACACATTTAGAACTGTTCATTTAGTATTCCACACATTTCTACATTCCCAGTAATCCTGTTCCCCATTCTCAATCTCTGGATTTTATCCTTTACATGTAGTTTGCTTCTAATAAATTTATAGAAAAGGCCTGGATCTGTTTTACATTTGTCTGCTATCCCTTTCTCAAAGTTCTTTTCTGCCTCTCTCCTCACTGCTGTGTATTTGTTTCTTGATTGCTTGTAGTGCTGGTATGTTTGAGTTAGACTTCTTCCTATATTAAACCCATTTTCTTGTTTTTTCCTCACTGGCCCTCTCACAATTTGTGTTGAACCAATCCTGTTTTCTGGTTCTGTATCTCTATTTTGATATGAATGTTTGTGTGCCTTCATCATATATTTCACAAAAATTTGACATACATCTCATTACTTCCTTGCCTAGCAACAAGTCTGTTCAATTAAATTTATTCATGAATTTTCCAAGTTCCTTATAGTGTCCTCTCTTGAAATAGAGTTTATCAACTGTTTCAATGTCCCCATTCTCTTCAAGATCATATCGCCAAACATATTAAATTTCCAACAGGATATGATCAAGCTTTCCAAAGGGAGAAAGGTACTGGATGTCAAATATCTCTTCTTCTTTCCTGGTGAATATTAACAGCATTGACTGAACATCCCCTTCCCACATTCTTGTGGCCTGCTTGACGTGTCGATATATAAATGTCTCCAGAATGAGGTTTACAAATCTGCCTGTCCAAATGTCCCCTGTTCTTGCTTCATAAGCCTCCCAGCTTTCAAGCCTGCATAAGGGCGGTGTTTCCACCCTTATGCCACTCATTTACAACACACATATATAAATATTATATAAAATAGGGAAATATAGGGAGCCACCAGGACAAGATCAGAAAGCTTGGAGAACAAGAATTCTCAGTGAGCTGGATGATGTTCTGTCGCAATTACTCCACTCAAGTAACATGATGCAGTACAACTAGCTTGTGTAGTTATTACATGAACAAAAAAATGTAAATTCTTTACTCACCTGTATAAATGATCCTGCATAGGCACCAGTAATGCCAACTAAGATCTCCACATCAGTTGTAACGAGACCCACTAGTGTTGGAGGAATTATGGCTAGAAGAGGGAAAAGGCAGCGTGTGGTAAAGAAGGAGTACCGACGACTTTCGCGTAGACAAAGTCCCTTTAAATTATTACGCAGTGTAATTGCAATGATGGGGAAATTTGTGCTTAATGTGAAGACTGGGAACATCAGAAGAAACACCTAGAAATGGAAAAGATCCATGTGTTAATATAGGGTGAAACATTATAAAGTTCATTAGTGTTGTCATAATCATCTATCTAATAAAGATCCATTGGCAGTATTATTGCATACTGTGTGAAACACTGTAAAATACATTAATATTTCACTCTCCATGTATTCAAAAGCAATTTCAAAGTTAGAAAGGATAGCATAGGCACCTCAGACAATAATCTTTATGTGGTTCTCTGGTGACAGTTTAATATCCAGAAACATTCATCAGTGCAAGTGTCAGGAGTACAGTATTTTTGGGTTTTTTAAGTGATTTTGGCAGTTGTGTAGCCTGTATGGATGTGGGGATGGCAAAATTTGTTGGGAGTAGACACATTCCAATGAAGCACATTCACAGGTGATGATAATTAGATCATGTTCGCCCTGTGGTATGCACTTTTCAAAGGTCTTTAGTAACCATCACATTGCAGCCAGCCAGATAGCTAGCCAGCCAGCCAAGTAGTCAACCAGTTAGCAAAGCAGTCAGCCATCCAGACAAATAGCCAGCCAGCCATTTAGCCAAGTAACTAACTAGTCAGACAGCGAAGTAGCCAACCTGCCAGACAGCCAGAGAGCAAAGTTGCCAGCCAAGCAGGCAGTCAGCTAGGCACATTCTAGTCCCAGGTACTTAGCAACTTGGATAACCAGAGACTAGCATGTTAGGATGTTGGAGATTGGCACCAAGTTTCTGAATATTCAGTGGGTCATTCCTAGGGAATCACAAAATATTCAGAGTGTAAGGAAGGGACTTTGCAGGGAAAACTACCTTTCAAATTTCCTACTAGTGCACTCAGCAGCACATGTGCAGAGTTAGTCTATAATCATAGTAAGAGAACAACATTCTCTAAAAAAGATCTCTAAATCTTTTTAGAGATCTTTTAGTAATTGTTTACATCTCTAAAAAAGATGTAAACAATTACTAAATATTGTTAAAAGAAACCATTCCAAGTACATTCTGTGATTGGAAAAGCATGTTTAAAAATACAAGTGTTAAATATGGAAAACCAGCTTTAAATGAGTAAATGGAAAAGAAATAGATAGGGAACCTCAAAAACATTGAACCCCCAAGGACAGAGGGGCGAGTATAAACAGAGGATATGCTCGTTCACTTCTCCAAGCAGCAGTGGCGGTTGGAGGTTCATCCCTCACTTGTTAGTTAGGTCAAGTCTGATGCTCGCCCACGTGGTAACTAGTGCAAGACCTTTATGGTACTTGTGGTGCTATTTTATACAAGAGTAGGATTAGGATTTTCATTTACATGTCCACAGTGACGTCTGGTAAATGTTTGTGTGATTTGTCCATCCTGTGGTGTGAACCATTTTGGTCTTACTAGTTGGCCTGGGCCATGTGTTGTGTTAGAAGTTGTTAGCGACACTATCAAAGTCCCCAATGGATAGGAAAGATAACTGTGCAATAGAACTGGAGAGTACACTTTTCCAGTGTACCAGTGTATGTGGTGACCAAGTGGAGTGTGGTGGATATATATATTTGATTGTTAGGAAAGTCAAAGTTTTGGGACCTAGTAATATCTGTCTTGTTTCAATTGTGTGTACAAATTACAACCACATTCTTGATATATATCTTGCGCCTTTAAGTTTAAGACTATAACAATAAATCACTGAATGAACCCTGAGTTATTAATTGCCAAAACCTTTCCCCCAAGATTGAGGTCTCTAGCTTGTTGTATGGAGTATAACCTCTGTATAAGGTATGACCTGGAGCCACCGGGTATAACACCGAGTCTTACTGTCCCTGGCTGTCATTATAGTCACCCCTCTCTTCATTTATTAAGTAAGGACGAGTAAAGTCAATAAGGACCTTGTTATAATTCAGATAATAAGGACGAGAAGAAGCTCGTGCCCTTACAAGATTGGATATTGATATGCAACTAACATGGTGCATTTTGCATGAGACGATGGCATTTTTATTTCATTTAAAAAGAGTGAACTAGATATAGGGTCAATTGTGTGTACTGTATCTGTTTTATGACAGCTTTTATTATCCACAATGAACTTTAGTATCTGTTTTCCCAGAGTGTTATCCTACAATTAACGGATCATACATTGACCTGAAAATAAAAGAAATAAAATTACAAAATAAACACACTCTTAATTTGACATTCAATACAATTACTTTTAATTATGTAAATACAATTCATCACCCCATTCCCATTTCTTTTGACAAGGATCACAGATGGGGAATGTTTGACAAACTGCACACTTCCTGCCCTTGTTGATGCCACTAGACCGATAATGGTCTTCAGGTATATTGAGACACATTTTACTTGCATTTATGTGTGGGGTATATATATGCTAATGTGCCTGAACAGCCAGTCACATATATCACATGTTCAACACCAGTATGTGTGTTGATGGCTTGAAAAACATTGTTACTGTTCTTTAACTGATGATGTACATGACACCAGTACAGTAGAATGAAGAAATTTAATGTAGACTACAAACTGGAAGAGGTGTATTACCTGGAGTGCATACACTATGAGAGAGGAACATCACCTGGAGTACATACACTGAGAGGAACATTACCTGGAGTGCATACACTATGAGAGAGGAACATCACCTGGAGTACATACACTGAGAGGAACATTACCTGGAGTGCATACACTATGAGAGAGGAACATTACCTGGAGTGCATACACTGAGAGGAACATTACGTGGAGTGCATACACTGAGAGGAACATTACCTGGAGTACATACACTATGAGAGAGGAATATTACCTGAAGTGCATACACTATGAGAGAGGAACATTACCTGGAGTGCATACACTATGAAAGAGGAATATTACCTGAAGTGCATACACTATGAGAGAGGAACATTACCTGGAGTGCATACACTGAGAGGAACATTACCTGGAGTGCATACACTATGAGAGAGGAATATTACCTGAAGTGCATACACTATGAGAGAGGAACATTACCTGGAGTGCATACACTGAGAGGAACATTACCTGGAGTGCATACACTATGAGAGAGGAACATTACCTGGAGTGCATACACTCTGAGAGAGGAACATTACCTGGAGTGCATACACTATGAGAGAGGAACATTACCTGGAGTGCATACACTATGAGAGAGGAACATTACCTGGAGTGCATACACTATGAGAGAGGAACATTACCTGGAGTACATACACTCTGAGTGAGGAACATTACCTGGAGTGCATACACTATGAGAGAGGAACATTACCTGGAGTACATACACTCTGAGTGAGGAACATTACCTGGAGTGCATACACTCTGAGAGAGGAACATTACCTGGAGTGCATACACTATGAGAGAGGAACATTACCTGGAGTGCATACACTATGAGAGAGGAACATTACCTGGAGTGCATACACTATGAGAGAGGAACATTACCTGGAGTGCATACACTATGAGAGAGGAACATTACCTGGAGTACATACACTCTGAGTGAGGAACATTACCTGGAGTGCATACACTCTGAGAGAGGAACATTACCTGGAGTACATACACTATGAGAGGAACATTACCTGGAGTGCATACACTGAGAGAGGAACATTACCTGGAGTACATACACTCTGAGAGAGGAACATTACCTGGAGTGCATACACTATGAGAGAGGAACATTACCTGGAGTGCATACACTATGAGAGAGGAACATTACCTGGAGTGCATACACTATGAGAGAGGAACATTACCTGGAGTGCATACACTATGAGAGAGGAACATTACCTGGAGTACATACACTATGAGAGGAACATTACCTGGAGTGCATACACTGAGAGAGGAACATTACCTGGAGTACATACACTCTGAGAGAGGAACATTACCTGGAGTACATACACTATGAGAGGAACATTACCTGGAGTGCATACACTGAGAGAGGAACATTACCTGGAGTACATACACTCTGAGAGAGGAACATTACCTGGAGTGCATACACTATGAGAGAGGAACATTACCTGGAGTGCATGCACTATGAGAGAGGAACATTACCTGGAGTGCATACACTATGAGAGAGGAACATTACCTGGAGTGCATGCACTATGAGAGAGGAACATTACCTGGAGTGCATACACTATGAGAGAGGAACATTACCTGGAGTGTATACACTATGAGAGAGGAACATTACCTGGAGTGCATACACTATGAGAGAGGAACATTACCTGGAGTGCATACACTATGAGAGAGGAACATTACCTGGAGTGCATACACTATGAGAGAGGAACATTACCTGGAGTGCATACACTATGAGAGAGGAACATTACCTGGAGTGCATACACTATGAGAGAGGAACATTACCTGGAGTGCATACACTATGAGAGAGGAACATTACCTGGAGTGCATACACTATGAGAGAGGAACATTACCTGGAGTGCATACACTCTGAGAGAGGAACATTACCTGGAGTGCATACACTCTGAGTGAGGAACATTACCTGGAGTGCATACACTGAGAGAGGAACATTACCTGGAGTGCATACACTATGAGAGAGGAACATTACCTGGAGTGCATACACTCTGAGTGAGGAACATTACCTGGAGTGCATACACTATGAGAGAGGTATCACTAGTCTTGCATCTATCTGGCTGGAAGTTGAGTGTGTAGAGGTCATTGAGGCGAACAAAGGCAAACACCCCCGTGAAGGCCAGGAGGTAGTAAAACATCAAGATGAGCAGGTAGTCAGCACCAAGTAACTGTAAGATTAATGTCAGCATCAGAATTAAGACATGGGAACTTTTTAAGAGAAATATTAAACAACTTTCCATACACTGACAAGTTTCAAAAACTTCAACACAGTACTAATAGCTTTAGTAATAAAGTGGCATGAATATGTCGCTCTTAAGAGTCTGATGACTTGATAACTGCACTGTTTAAGGATATATACTACTAAGGACCTCATAACAAACATGTGTTCAGAAAAATGAGTTTCTATTTACTCATTTAAACACAGCATATAATGTTGGGGACTTGTAACGAATTGGTGAAAGGAAAGAGAGAGAGAGAAAGAGAGAGAGACACATGAACAACATAGAAGGAGGGAGAGTGGAGGAGGGAGGTCTGTAAAAGGAAAAGTGTAGAGAAGTGATAGAAGATGAGATGACAGGCCTTAGAAAGACAGAAGGGGTTGAGGAAAATGAGTATAAAGAGTAGACAAAGTTTTAGAGTAGATAGAGGAAAATAGTAGATAGATAAATAGAGGTAGAGCTGCCACTATCCATTCAGAAGTTTACAAGACAAGGAATGGAATTCTCCTCTGTTCACAGTTATTATAAGCAATGTTAATAAGTGAGAAACTGCAACCATGTAAAGCTTACAATTATCAAATCTGCATCTTTAGTAATCTTCAGAGTGCTCTCCACTCTAGCTTTCACTTTGCATAAGGGAAGAATTAAATCCAAGATCTTAGGAGATCAGATGTAAAGATAAAAAAAAATGACTCCAAAAGGAAAGCATGTAATTCTATCACAAAATAAAAGCACGAGACCTTCGAGCAGCTTAAGGAAGGTTAAATTGAAGTAAAGATAACAGAGGAGACTGGTGTATGTGTTCTAGTACAATACTTCACATTGATGGTTTACAGTCTCTCCACACATGAGCTGCTTCAACAACTACAATTCCCATATACAAAGATAATTCCTAAACCCATTACCAAAGATAGTCAACATTTTGTATTCCAGCCTCTTCTCACATATTTGATTAAATTATCTTAGGATTTCCTGCAGCTCTGTCACTGAGTTAATAATCAAATTCATTATGCATCTGCATCATCATCAGCATCATTATTTATCTTTTTGATCTTTTCCTCTATTGAACTCCATGATCTCTCACCATGAAGGAAATAAACAACCATGATGAAACCATGTCTTTCTCCAACTTTCACCCAAACTTATTCAGTTACATCTATGACATCACTTCCATTATTTTCTAGGCCCTTAATGCAACAAAGAATCTCCACTGTATTGAAACTTTGCTACTTTTTGCAATATTATGAAAAATTATAATGTTTTATTATTGCAAATGATAGAATACACTTTCATGAACATTTTGATAACAAAATCACTTGGAAAAGTAACTTAATAAAAATGCTTTAAGTTTTTTACCCCCTCCCCTTCAATATTCCAGTCCAGCAAATACAGTCTCTCACCCCACTGGAGGTCCTCCGATATTTTTCACTACAACCAATAACATTATTACAGTATTTCCAAAATGAAACCATTTGCTTCATGTGGACTCCTGGCAAATCAAGTTGTGTCCAAGCATGGTTCCCCTGTACTCTATCTTATCAATAATATTTCCACCAATTCTTTACACTGATATGAAAGAAGCATATACTGTAATGTAATTATTTTTTTATGCTGAATAAACAGTAGGCACAGTATTAGGAACCTTCTAATAATTCAGATAATGTTTTGCCTATTGCAGAAATGACTTATAATTTTCAGATTAATATAGAAAATTACCTTTATGATTGATCTTTTTTCATTCACAGGAGTAATTAGTGCAGGTAAAGAATGATGACACATAAAACTGTACACACACACTCCAAATAACTGTGGCAATTTGGTGACATCAGCTGGTGGAGGATGTCCATCACCTTTTTCCTCAGCTAATAACACAATGGCCCATGCAATCATAATTCCCATTGCTGGAAAATAAAGGATATATAATTAGAATATTATACTGTGAATGAATTTAGAGTGGTTGGTAATATTAGTTTTCAAAAGTAAGCTTTGGCATAGTGTGCCGACTTCTACTGCCTGTCACCCAACGGTTCAACAGCTCTGCATCCCTTACAATGAAGAAGGAAATAACTGGGATGTGACTCTTTTTAACTATCCTCTTGCCAGTGAATGACTCCTCATCTGGTGAAAGTGGGAAAATAAAAAATGGTAATGGAGGGTGATGAAGGGAAAAGTGGAAGTGGGGGTGGTGGAGGGGAAGGAGAAGGAAGAGAAGGATGGTGGAGTGGGTTGCCAAGGCTGCCATCTTGTGGTGGGATGTGTAACTAATGGTTGCAACATGCTAATGACTGTGTACATACCTATCAGGGTTGCCAATTTTTTCTTCATGCAGTTGCTTACTTTGGGGTGCTGTATCATTCTGGTGCTTTTCCTCTTAGCTTGGATTGATTTAGTGTCCCCAAACTACTGTGCCTTTATTGAATGAACTAGATTTTGCTTCTGGTCCAGTGGGTGCTCGTTACTCACAGGGGCCTGGTGAGGTGCGTGAGGCTTGGAGCCACTGAGGGGAGCCCTCCCAGAAATAACCTGAAGTATAAATCCTCTAAGAAAGGTAACACCCAAAATTAGGAAAAAAGATAAAGTCCAGAACCACATCCAGAGACCACAATAGCTATAACAGAGTATGAAACAAACAAGTATGAAATTCTGAAAAAGGCTCAACCCAAGCAAAAAGAACAGAGAAGACAAACTGATGTCAAACTAAGCAACAATGGATCTGAAAAGCACGACTGGTAGGAACCAACAGTATTACTGGTAATCATATGGCTTCACTTAACAAATAGCCAGGACATAAGGACCACCACAGACACCAACAATTGCACAGAATACCAGGAAGTGCTGCAACAAACATTTTGCTACAACATACAGGCAGCACAAGGAAGCCTGAAGATGATACATATGGATCTGCCACCTGCTTCCCATATAGGTCATGGTAAAGCTGCTCCAAGAACTTCAAATCTAAAGGGGTCCCGGTAGCACAGTCAGGGTCGTTCTTGACTTGCAATCGAGAATTCTGGGTTCGAATCCCGGGCGGGACAGAAATGGATGGGCACGTTTCCTATCGCCCTAATGCCTCTTTTCACCTAGCAGTAAGTAGGTACTTAGGAGTTAGTTAGCTTGTTGTGGGGTTGCATCTTGGGAGGGTGGGGAAAATGGGGGGGGGCCTCGATATATGCCTAACATGTATGAACACTGGCTGCCTGTCCCCCAATACTATGAGTTATTATTAATTATTAAATGCAAAGATTGACAGATACAAAGTCCTTATGCAGAAATAGACATAATCTGTGGATGGAACTGAGGTTGAAATGGCCACACAAGACCTAGCAAGTCAACATTTATCACAAAACTCCAATCCAACAGGATAGGAGCATCATCAGGATTGGTTGAAACAAGTAAATCACATCCCATCAGATTCAGTCCAAATGCAGGCCATACAAAGCAAATGCTTCTTGGTCTAAGAACACAGCCACATACCATATACAGAAAGCTTGTGGTTCCCTGTGGAGACAAACAGATTCATCTGGGTACATTTAAACATTGTACAAATCCTGTGAAATAAAGCCTTGTACATCTCCCAGTCTGTCCCAATCAGACAAAATTTGAGAGATTGTCTGCAAAATCATTTGACACATCTTAAATGCTCAGAGGACAGGGAAATAAATAATCGAAAGAGACACCAGAGCACGAATCTACTGCCAGAACAGGAGAAACAGGACTGACTCCTCGTTTTCTTGACTGTGGTAGTGCACCATAAGAGTACTGTATTAAACAATTCCAGAGGCAGCAAAGGGCTTCTGACTGAAGAAACCATTAGCCTTCGTCCTCACATTACCAACGTGTGTAGATGATGCACACAAAGTTGAGATGGTCCAGAAGGTACTGAAGACTCCAAGATAATATCAGCCTGCTTCCACCAACCAGACTTACATGACAGGCAAGTCAAGCCAAGGTAGTCTCTCAAAGAGAAGAAAACAACAACTTGGGATCTCTTATTACCCCAAACTTTTGAAAGCTCTGCAAGGAGAAAAACTGGGTCTTGAACAGGCTGACTAGAGAGCCGTCACAGTCCATCACTCACAACATGTGGGTGGTACACGAGCAAGGGGACACAGGTGGAAACTTAGAAAAAATTAGCCACAGGGATGTTAGAAGGAAATTTTTTCATTGTCAGAGTAGTTAACAGATGGAATGCATTAGGCAGAGATGAGGTGGAGGACGTCTCCATAAACAGTTTCAAATGTAGATATGATGAAGACCAATAGGCTCAGGAATCTATACACCAGTTGAGAGGCAGGACCAAAGAGCAGAAGCTTAACCCCCACAAGCACAACTAGGTGAGCTAGATGAGTACATGGTAGCCTTTGCTAGTAGACATTACTGTACTGATGAAACCCACAACACCCAGTCATCGAGGTAGCCCAGAACAGAATCCCAGGACCCAGAGCTTCCAAGAAATGACACAGACAAACATGCAAATTTGTTTCTCTCGTCATATTGTAAAACTACAGTACAGTAGTGTATATATTTTCCAAGATATAGCAGTTAAATTTAAAATTTATGTCAAGGTAAAATTTATACAAGGAGTAAGACAAATCATTACATAAGACAGTTAAAAGCAACTTAGTGGGATTCAGTACAGTATCACATTGTAGTATGGGAGGTGAGGATGGAGGGAGGCGAGAATGGAGGGAGGCGAGGATGGAGGGAGGCGAGGATGGAGGGAGGCGAGGATGGAGGGAGGCGAGGATGGAGGGAGGCGAGGATGGAGGGAGGCGAGGATGGAGGGAGGCGAGGATGGAGGGAGGCGAGGATGGAGGGAGGCGAGGATGGAGGGAGGCGAGGATGGAGGGAGGCGAGGATGGAGGGAGGCGAGGATGGAGGGAGGCGAGGATGGAGGGAGGCGAGGATGGAGGGAGGCGAGGATGGAGGGAGGGGAGGATGGAGGGAGGTGAGGATGGAGGGAGGTGAGGATGGAGGGAGGTGAGGATGGAGGGAGGTGAGGATGGAGGGAGGTGAGGATGGAGGGAGGTGAGGATGGAGGGAGGTGAGGATGGAGGGAGGTGAGGATGGAGGGAGGTGAGGATGGAGGGAGGTGAGGATGGAGGGAGGTGAGGATGGAGGGAGGTGAGGATGGAAGGAGGTCAGGATGGAAGGAGGTCAGGATGGAGGGAGGTCAGGATGGAGGGAGGTCAGGATGGAGGGAGGCAGGAATGAAGTAAGATAAGTACCTAGTATGTAATCAATAAACATTAGCAAAATACTTTCAATATAATGAATTGAATAGAAGAAAGTCATATGTTAAAAATCAGGGTGAATGACAAAGTACTGAAATTTTGTGATACGTTTAAAAATGTTTGTTTGATTGACAACACAGTTTTGAGCAACTGAAGGTGAAAATAGAATAAGTTGGGGAAGGAGAAGAGGTACAATGAAAGCCTTGGTCAGGAAGAACAAGAAAGGAGGAGATGCCGCTAAAACACCACATAAAACAGTGCTCAATACTTCCCAATATACATATGTTAAACACCATTGCAAGAGTAGCACTAGCAAACCAGAAGTAACAAAACAAAGATGGACACACTAAGGAGTATGTGTGGTGTCAGAAGGATAGGAATGACAGTGTAATGGAGATACATGATGATACTGGCCAAGGTTCTACTGATGTTATAAGTGTGGGAGGTATTATGATGGGACAATCATCGTACTAAACACTTTTAACCCTCTTTTCCTACAATACTCTTAACAAAATTTCACCCTATTCCAAGAAAGTAAGAAATGATAAAAACATGAGGACAAAGATAATGATGACTGCAACAATAACAATAATTAAATGTAAATACAATTGCAAGTTAGAGTAACTTTTGAAAGGAGGATGAACTAAACATTCTAAATTTCAGTTGTATTATGTTTAGAAATATTAAAGCTAAGTGGACTCTCGAGAAACATGCAATGTAACCATTATTAACACTCACCAAGCCATCTAGTTAATGTAGTAATCATCTGCATATATTTTGTTTTAGTAAGATTGAAGAATACAAAAGGGCCCATCACACCAATGAAAGCAGCCTGAAAGTAGAAAAGTGAATTTACAATTCTTAACCAAAGCATACCTAGCAAACATTATACATACAGAATGTGCAAGTTATAATGCAAAGATATTTATGTCATGCTCAAATCTTAGATCCCACTGTCCTACTTGTTCTGTATTGGTACTCCTGTCATTCATCTTTTACACAAGTTTCTCAGCAGCCTGCTGTATCATAACCCGCAGTGACAGTTGCTGTGATCACCTCTACTACTGTTACAGGTCTACCTCTCTAAGTATGACTTCTACTGCCCTTCTTCCTTCTTTTATGGGTCTTGGTAGTTAACTCTATTACACAATGTAAATGTATTATAACCATATTTATATCATTGGTATAAAAAACCAGCGTTGAATGTAATGAAACGCCATTTTCTGAGCGAGACCCGGAGGCTCCCAGGAGCTATCTGGCTGATTCGGAAGCATTAGCTTTGGGCATCAGTCAATGTATCAGAGGTCCACGGTTGTTCAACGTCCTACCAGCAAGCATCAGAAATATTACAGGAACAACCATGGACATCTTCAAGAGAAAACTAGATTGTTTCCTTCAAGGCGTGCCGGACCAACCGGGCTGTGGTGGGCCTGCGAGCCGCTCCAAGCAACAGCCTGGTGGACCAAACTCTCACAAGTCAAGTCTGGCCCTGGGCCGGGCTTGGGGAGTAGAAGAACTCTCAGAACCCCATCAACCAGGTATCAACAAGGTAATGTACATGGAATTCTAGGCCTACCGGGGGCCATGAGCCAGAACCTGGCCCCCTCAGAGAGGCGCAAAGAACAATGGCCAATAAACACCTGATATATGGTTTAGAAGTACTCTATGTCTGTCATTGACTGGGTTGGGCACCCAGAAAGATAGGTGCCCCAAAACACACACCCCCTCCCATTCTGGTGAAGAATTGCTACTGAAACGCTGAACGAGTGGACGGAACTCTCCTTTAAGAAAAACGAGCAAACAAGCATGATATCTCATTACCAACGATGAGGCCAACGCCGCTGTCTGTGCAACCCTCCCCCTCCCCGGAAGGGGGAACGGGAAACCCCAAATATCCCCAGCCGGCTACCCAAGCCTGCCAGTTCTTAGGCTGGATGTCAAAATACGTGAAAAGGAACCGCCACCCGGAAGGAAGGAGGGAAGCCGGGGAGCCTCCGGGTTTCACCCAGAAAATTGCGTTTCATTGCATTCAACACTGGTTTTCTGGGGGAAGCACCTTTGGCTCCCCGGAGCTACTTGCCCAAAGAGAAACAAAAAGGGACTTACCCAGGTGGCGGTTGTTCCTCAAATCTCAACGCGAAGTCGAGACAACTGGCTGCAACCGCCGACCCAATGCAACATAGGCCCTACTAGGCTCAGAGACACTGACTAAGTAGCGAGCGGCCAGGACCCTGTTCGACCTCCAAAAGCCCCGTGCCCGAATGTCAGCCCAAGACATAATACCAAAAATGGCAGCAAGCACAGCAAACTTAGGAAAGTTGTGGGTGTGGGGATAAACCGCAGCTGGTTGGACTGAATAATCCTGCAGATGACCTGGAAGACCCGAACCCTGGAACAGGGAAAAAGGGAACCGGATCAATCCAAAACCCATTCCTGGCCACCGAGGCAATGGCACGCAAATAACGACGTAAAGCCACAACTACACACAACACATGATACACCCCCGGCCTCACCAACCAAGCATCAACTACCCACGGGGGCCCCTCTGGAAAGCAGCAGCCTCATTCTTTGCCAGAAAAGAAGGAGACGGCTGCAACCAAACAAACCTACCACTAGGACCGAAGGAGCAGAAACCCCTGCGCCGAAGGAGAGCATGAAGCTTCCCGACCCGACCATTAGAGGCCAATGCCAACAGGAAGAGAGCCTTAAACATACAATCCTGAACCGAAGGGGCCACCACAAACCAACGGGAAGAGAGAAGGAGAGCAACCGATCCAAAGACCAGGTCGGCTCAAGCAGCGCATGAGCAGGCCGGAGGTGAAACAATGCCCGAGACAGCTTACGGAACGACTCTGAAGTAACATCAATGCCGAACGCCAGCTGCAGTGGCTTCGTCAGCACTGTATGATACGAGGCGACGGTATTAAGCATAACATGACGGTCCTGAAACAACCACGAAAGAAAGGACAAGACAACCCTAAGCAAAAGAGAAGGCACACGATGGAGGGTCAGAAAGAACCAGAAGAACCGCCAGGACACTACATATTGTTGCCGAGACAAAGCACGCAGGTGGGACACCATCAAAGAAGCCACCTGATCACCATACAAATGGTGATAGACCCGAGTCAGAAAGACCAGACGCGAAGACTCAAGGAGAATATCGAACCAGTTTCGTAACTGACCGGACCGATCTGCTGAAAGAGGCGGAGCCACGGGAAACTCTCCGGGTTCGGACACCAGGCAAGCAGCACCTGAAACCAAGGCTGGGCCATCCACCAAGGGGCTTGAAGGACTACTCTTCCCTGGTAAGTCTCCAGGCGAGCTAGGACCTAGAACAACAGCGGAACTGGAGGAAAAAGTAACAGGTAACCCCACCTCAACCAGTCCGGCCTGAAGGCGTCGACCCGGACTGCCTCGCAATCGGGGAAGGGCGCCACATACAACAGGAAACACCTCGACCACACTGACGCGAAGAGGTCCATCTCCGGGAGCCCGTACGTCCGGCAGAGCCAACTGAATGAGTCAGCGTCAACCGTCCATTCCGCGGACAGGGAATGAACCGAAACAGGCCGTCCACTAGGACGTTGGACACCCTCGAACATGAACAGCCAGGAAAGCCAAACCCCAAGAAATCAGCGGACGAGTCATCCGAAGTGATCAGCCCCAAAGAACCAAGGACCGCAGAGAACCCCCTCGGCTCAGACAATGAACCACCGGGGAGCAGTCTGAATGGAGCCTGATAGTCGATCCACAAGCGACCTGAACCCCTCCAGAGCAATATTCACACCGCCACGAAATCCCGCACCATGCTGTGGGCTCGACAGAAGGACAGACCCCCACTGCCCCTGGCCATAGTGAGCACTAGTCACAAAGCCCCAGCCAAGAGACGACACATCTGTGAACACATCGAGCGAGGGCTCGGGTAGACGCCAAGACACTGAACCCCGAAAAACCCGAAGAGGAATCCGACGACGCAGCAACTGACGCAAGGCTCTCGGAGGCCGAACCCAGAGATTGCGAAAGAAGCAAAAGCGACGGCCCTCAAAGAAACCAAAATAGCCGGCGAAGCCAAACCCGACCCGACGGGTAGACCATCATGGCAAAGTTTAGGCTCCTACACAAACTGTGAACCTGGCACCTTCGCGTGTGTGAACATGCGAGGTGCCAGGTTCAGCAGAATGGAAGGCAACAAAAGCGGTAACCGAGATGCCCCACAAAAAACCGAGCCAGTCCCTGAACCCCGGATGAATTGGGACGTGCCAATACGCAACTTGGAGGTCCAGGGACACCATCCAAGTGCCTCATGGCTTTGAAAGAAACCAGACCTGGGACAGAGTAGTCATCCGAAAGAAGGGACTAGAGACCCAGGGGTTCAGACAGGACAAGTCCAGAATGAACCGCAGGTCTGCACAGTCCCATTTCGGGACTGGGAAGTCCACCTGAGGGACGTCGTCGTTTAGACCACACTCAAGCATACCCACTTCAAGATGACCCAACAAAGCGCAGAAAAAAAAAAGAGGCCTGCCCTACCAGCCAAGAACCCCTTGAAGGAGGAGGGCCACCCAACGCCACCGCAGGCCATCGGAAACCACCCTAAAAGCCCACAAGTCGTCAGACCAGGCGTGAGCAAACAGTGCGAGCCTCCCCTCCACATCGCCCCATCAACAGGGTGAACCGTGAAAGGGCCAACGTCCCTTACGTGAACCCGACAGATGCACAGAGCGACACCACACGGACCAGACGAAGAAGGGATCAAAGGCGGCGCCGACCCTGAAACTGGCACCGCCAGCCTACCATGACGAGAGGAACCTTGAGCCCCAGCACGACCCCTCTGGGAAGACCCCCCAGGAATAGGGCTATAACTGGACCCCCTGAAAGGTGAACAAGCATGGGGGCCCTAGAGGAGGCCACCAAAATACCTTTAGGAGGACTAATAGTCAAACCAGACAGATCTCCTCCAAGCAAAAACAAAAAAGAAAAGAAAAACCCCACAAAAGCCAAACCACAACAGGAGGAACAGGGAACACAGCCGCCACTTCACCACCACTTATCACACCACTTCCTACTACCCATGGCCAAACAAAGGCCACTAAACCCCAGTTGGCCCCAAGAGCGGGGGCAACTGCCGAGCAGCAGGAAACTACAGAGATGAAGCCCGAGAGCACCAGGGAAGGTAACCTTAGAACCCATGGGTAATACTCACAGGGCACTTAGGGAAGGCAGCCCTAAGCACATGCAGCCCTCATATGTTACAGTATATTACTCCTGGCCAACGCGCCATAAACAGCAGGAACCACAAGGGCACAAAATGCAGCAAATTCTGAGGCCAGAGTTGACATCCGCCCCAGATGGGCTTCAGTCAATGAACTAAGGTGTGAGGGGTCGGTGTGTGGGTCTGGGGCTTCCCCCTCCCCCTCCCGGGGGGTACGCAGACAGGCTGTACGGTGGCGGTGAATGCCAATTTCACATTTGCTGGTTTCCTTTGTTTTTTTGGGGAGTCCTATTTCTCTGTTCGGTCTTGGGTTCTTATAATTTCTAACATGTGGGGTTTGTTTTGAGATGCCTACCTTTCTGGGTGCCTAGCCCCAGACAATGGCAGACAAGGAATACCCGGAAATACAAGGGGGGTCTCCTTAAGCCATTGCTCCCTGTGCCTCTCTGAGGGGGCCAGGTTCCAGCTCTGGTCCCTGATAGACAGGACTCCACTGACTGAAGCCTCAGACTAATATAGTGTATATCAGTCCTATAGCTCCAGGGAGCCGAAGGGGGCTCCCCACAGAAAAACTAATACTTTAGGAGTTTTAAAGTATTAGGAGTTTATTAAAGTATTAGAAGTTTATTAAGTTTATTGTTTTATGTAATTTGTGTAATTCATTATAAACAAAAGTCATCACATGTCATTCAGTAATCCAACCAAAAAGCCCAGTAATTCAGATTTTTTTTTAAATTAAGAAATCAAGAACTCAAGACTTGATTTTGGCTGGATTACAAAAGATTGTGGTTACCATTGTCTGAAATAGTCAGCTCTTACACTATTGTAATTATATTGTTTGTATTAACAACTTGCATTGGCATGCAAATTAGCATAAGCCATTCACTGATCACCAAGCAGAAAAATTATCCTAATTTTTACATTACTTAAAAACTCCCAGCTTTATAACTGCTTGTACAGGTGTGTCTAAACTGTACAGCATATGAACTATTATTATAAAAACAAAAACAACTTACTGTACATATTCTGTATAAATCTAATCTTGTTAGATCCGAGTCCCTGAAACATGGATCTGCATCCATGAGTTCCATTGTGCAATTCTCAGGTACATAGTTACTGGAAAAAATTAATTGTAAAAGATAAATATTAATAGAGAATAATTTAGTTTTTTATATCTACGTTGCCAAAAAGTCAGCGATGAATGTAATGAAATGCCATTTTTGGGTAGAACCTCGGAGGCTTCCTGGAGCTATTGGACTGATTTTATCTAATATTAGTACGGGGCTTCAGTCATATGAAGTTGTCATGCCTACCGAGGACCACTAGCCAGAACATGGTCCCCTCAGAGATGCAGGGAGCTATGAAACTATGCTATGAAACTATGCTGGTAGCTATGCTACCTATGAAACTTATGTATGAAAGTATTCATGTCTGCCATCGACCGGGGTTGAGCACCCAGGAAGGCAGGTGCTTCAAAACAGACCCCTCCTGGTAGAAAAATTGCAATCTGAAAGCGAACAGAGGTTAGAAACTCCCCCAAAAGAAAAACAAGCTAACAAGCAATGCGACATCACACTGCGTGCCACTCATTCGTGCAGACCCCCCCTCCTCCCAGGTGGGGAAGAGAGGGTTTCATCCCACAGAGCCGACACCCGGACTGTCATTTTGGAGGCTGAAAACAGCAACAAAGCCCGCTAACAGGGGAAAGGAAGGGTGCCAGGGAGTGTCCTGGGCTCTACCCAGAAAATGGCATTTCATTACATTCAAAGCTGGTTTTCTGTGGGGAAGACCTGTCAGCTCCCTGGAGCTAACTACCTAAAGAGCAGAAAAACAGGGACATGCCTGTGAGGCGGCTGCACCGCACCACTTATAATGAAGACACGACAACTGGCTGCAACCGCTGACCCAAGGCGACACAAGACCGCTGAGGGCCCTGCACATTAACAAGATATCGGGCACCCAGGACCCTGTTCTATCTCCAAAACCATACAAACCATACACCCAAGACATACTGCCAAACACAGCAGCCAAAGCTGCAAACTTACGAACATCATGAACATACTAGGCACGAGGGTAGACCGCAGTCTGGCTAGACTTAATAACCCTGCAAACGACCTGAGAGACCTAAGCCCTGGAACAGGGAACAAGAGAAAACGGGTCAACCTAAAGCGCGTCCCCGAACACAGAAGCCAAGGTGCGCAGGTAACAGTGTAAAGTCGCAATCAGACACAAAACATGATGCACCCTTGGCCTGACCACCCAAGCATCAATAACCCACGGACCCCTCTGGAAGCCCGCCGGCTCATTCTTCACCAGAAAAGGAGGAGACGGTTGCAAACAAACAAAATGTCCACCCGAATCAAAAGAGCAAAAGCCTCTGCACCGGAGGAGAGCTTGAAGCTCCCTGATCCAACCCCCAGAAGCCAAAGCTAACAAGAACTAAGCTTTCTGGAAACGGTCTTGAACCAAAGGGGCCCCACAAACTGAGGAGAAGAGAGAAAGGAGAGCACCTGGTCCAATGACCAGGACAGCTGAGGTGGTGCATGAGCAGGCTAGAAGTGGAAATAGGCACGAGAAAGCTTGCAAAATGAAGCCGAGGTGACATCCACCCCGAGCTGGAGCGGCTCCACCAGCACTGCACCATATGAAGCGATAATATTCGGCATAAGATGCCTGTCCTGAAAGAGCCAAGAAAGAAAAGTCAACATAACGCGATCCGAGACCAAGGATAACCTATGCAGTGAAAGGAAATGGCAAAAAGACCGCCAAGAGACTTCATACTGTCACCGAGAAGAAGACCACAGGTGGGACACCATTAGAGAAGCCACCTGGTCACCATATAGATGTGATACACTCACGTCAGACACTCCAGATGTGAAGCGAGCACGAGTAAAGCAAACCAGCAAGGTATGTCACTGGCCCAATCTACTGAAAGAGGCTGAGCCGCAGAAAATGCACCGGGTTTGGACGCCGAGCAAGCAGTGTCTGAAACCAAAGCTGGGCTGGCCACCATGGGGCCAGAAGGCTTCCCCGGTTGGACTTGAGCTGAACCAGAACCCGAAGCAACAGCTGAACTGGGGGGAAAAAGGTACAGGTAACCCCACCTTGACCAGTCCTGCCGAAAAGCATCTACGGTGAAGACCTCGCATTCAGGGAAGGGCACCACATACACGGGGAGATGCCTCGACAACGCCGACACGAAGAAGTCCAGGTGACAGGCCATCTGCCATGACGTTGGACACGCCCCCTGATATGGGGAGTGTCGCAACACTGCCGCAAACTCCAGCATTGTACTGTGAGCTCGACAGATGGACTGGCCGGCCCCTTGGCCAGCCTGGTGAACACTGGTCACAATGCCCCAGCCAAGAGAAGAGGTATCCGTGAACACACTGAGGCAGGGCTCCGGAAGGTGCCAAGGCACCAATCCCCGAAAAGCCTGAAGAGAAAACCGGCGATGCAGCAGCCGACCCAAGACCCCCGGGGGACGAACTCAGTGATCGGGGGAGCAGTGGAAAGGACGGCCCCCGAAAGAACCAAAAAGGAAGTCCAAGGGAAAGGCATCCAAGAAAGGGACCTGTTGGAAGGACCCAGAAGCCTCGGTGGGAGGAACCTGCTCAAATGCCTCCGTCCCCGCCTCCATGGGGTAACCCACGAAGCCACCAGAGTCTCATCCCCAGCTAAACCCTGCCCGACACCGAAACCCTCAGACATTTGGGAACCAGAAGCGAGGGGAGAGGGGGGAGGGGAAAACGGTGAACCACACCAACAAGGGGAGGATGAAGGGGAGTGAACTGAACCAAAGTCGAACCGACCAACTTCCCCAAGTACAGGTCCCTAAAACCAAAACAGGGCAGCCACGGGGCATTTGAGCTGGTGACCAACCGAGCACGCTGCAGCAACCTAAACCTAGCATGCAACGCGCGAGCCACTTGACCCCTTAACCTCAGCCATAGCGAATGGGTAAATTGGAGTCCAGGTCAAAGGTGTTGTTGACCCAACAAGCAGCATGACAGATGCAAAACATGTGATCGCCACCCTGAGACAAGGGTAACAACCCTCAAACTCATACAAGGCGAGAAGGGGCTCAGAGGACACATCCATATGTCAACTAAGCTCCGATGGGGGTTTTCCAGGGCCCGCAGGGAAATGTAACCTTATGGGAAGCCCAGGCACTAGAGCCGCCAAAGCCGGTTGTAACCCTGTATGTATCCGGGCAAACTGGCCCCTGTGAGGTGAGCAACCTCGGAGGCCCAGAAAACGACTGCCCTACTGAACCTAGGTATCACCTAATAGGAACCCTGGCAGCCTGCCAATGGGCAAAAAAAAAACTAAAAGTAAGAAATAGAACCCTGAGAAAGCACCCCAATTCAGGGGACCAGAAAGAGACACGGCTGCTGCAATTTTGCAAGGTAGGCAGCACAGTGCACCCCAACCAGGGCCAAACGAAAGTACTGAGACCTAAGATGATCCCAAAGGCGAGGCAGAAAGCCAAGTAGGCGCTACCTCTATGGGAATGAGGACCCAAAGGACCCAAAAAAAGATAACTCTGAACCCCCAAGCGGTGTACTCACAGGGCATTTAGGGAAGGGAGCCCTAAGCACACGCAGCCCTTGGTACGAACTTCTGGCCACCTCCAACACACAGCAGGAACACCAGCAGGGTGAAGCCAATCAGGCAACTGAGACCAGAACAGATTTCCACCCAATTTAACTTCAGCCGACAAAGTGACAGTCCGGCTGCCAGCTCGGTGGGCTGAAACTCCCTCTCCTCCTCCCGGGGGAGCAAGCGGCACGCGATGTGATGACATGTTGCTCTGTTCAGTCTCAGGTGACAATTTTTCTACCAGGAGGGGTCTGATTTGAATCGCCTACATTTCTGGGTGCTCAACCCTGGTCGATGGCAGACATGAATACTTTCATACATAAGTTTCGGAGGCCATTGCTCTCTGCACCTCTCTGAGGGATCCATGTTCTGGCTAGTGGTCCCCGGTAGGCATGACAACTCCATATGACTGAAGCCCCGTACTAATATTAGCTAATATCAGTCTAATAGCTCCAGGGAGCCAATGGGGCTCCCCCACAGAAAACAGCATTGAATGTAATAGAACAGCAATTTCGTGGTGAGCCCCACTGGCTCCCTGAAGCTATGAAATCTGATAGTGTCATACTATTAGGTGCCATTAGTTGCAGTGTTCTATTGGCCTACTGGGGCCACAAATCAGAACCTGGCCCCTTCAAAAGAGGTGCAGGAAGCAGTGACCCATATGGTAAAATTACTATGAATTTATTCGTATCTACCCATCAAAAGGAAAGCACCTGGAAAGTCAGAAACAAAACAGACCACTACTGGTTATAAGTACAACTGCAGCCTCAAGAACTGCCAAAAAAGAACTCCCCCAACAATGTAAACAAATGATCGAAAATTCACTAAAATAGCGAGAGCTCATTCACCCTACCTCACCCTTGTTTGTGGGAAGGAGGGAGGCAGCTCGGGGTCAGCCGGAAGCACCACTATCAGTTCTATTCTGATGGAAGCAAGTGTGAGGTGCCCTCATTGTTGCTCTGGCTCCAGTGTCCATTTTTCAGCCAAGTGATGTTTTGCCTTTGTGGCTATTCTTGTGTACTTTGGTGCAATGTGAAACAAAGTTAAGAGCAATTGGTGCTGTATGTGCTCAGGGGAATCTTCTTTGGGCACTCCTTTGTGCTGCTCTTGCACTGCCAGGTTTATCTTCCTGGGAGTGTATGGTATCACCCCTTTGGAGGTCCTCCTCGCTTGTGTTGGCCCTCGCCCTGGGGGAGTCGGTGGTCTTTGACTTTGCTTTATCTCAGGTTGGTGTGATTTTGACTGGCGAGGTGCACTGTGGTTCGCGAGCTGCATTCAGCAGGCCGATGTCAGTTTTCACAGGAGCACAAGTCTGGCTGTGTTGGTTTACTATTATCTTTGTATTTTGTTCTGATAAAAAGAGAGCCTAAAAGATTCTATAGGTCTGCCGTAGCGTACCAGTGCATGGGATTCTTATAGGGTTGCATTCCCTCTAGACCCTGGACATCCCCTGTGGGTTCGGTGGTCCTAATGGTATATCCACCAAACCCACTTTCACTTTGTGCAAATTTGAAGGTTGCTCATCATGCATGCCATGTGGCAATGTTCAGTCGTTCTGCCACCGCTTGCTGCCTGCTAAGTTTGTGACACCTTTGATTCTGAGTCATGTGGTGGTTGCTCCTGTCATGTTGCAGCAATCTGGGTTTGTGTACCCGGTTGGAAGCCCCAGGGGACTGCCCCATTGGTATTAAGAACTTGGAATTAGAAGTGTTGGTGTTTTCCCTTCATTCTCTTTGCACCCTCTCTTCTTTCATCTCTGGGTGTAGTTTGCACTTTCCTCTCTTCCTCCCCAACTACTTCTGGCTCCAAAGCGTATATGGCTATATCCAGTGCCACCCATGGGAAACAGTAGAGTAACACCAGGGGCAGTGTAACTGTCTCCATCTTCCAGCATAGTTATTTAAGGTACATCCATCAACACTCACATAACATCAGGGCCAGTGTAATTCAATCAACCTGCCAACAACAAGTCATAGATAGGCAAGGTACATCTATCTACACTCACAACACCAAGGCCAGTGTAACAATTTCAACCTTCCTGCACCGGGCCACAGTTAGGGACGGCACATCCACCTACACTCAACATCCTAGTAATACATGTACTGTAGTCACAGATACCCTCAAGTGCTGCTCAACCCACGGCTACTGTAAAATGTCACTGCTACTGTATAATGCTACTGCTACTATGACTTATTGTATAACACTACTGTTACAGTATTTTATAATGTCACCACAACTGTATAATGCTACTGCTAATATAACATACTGTGCACAAAGAAATCACATTAATATGATGTATCAATGAGAAAATCAGTAGGAGCCATGAGAAGGATTCGAACCTTTGCTCTAGGTACTCCTAAGCACATGCATTAGACTTCTACACCATGACATGGTGAAAAACAATACAACCTGGTATTGAACTGAATCATCTAGGAATTCAACTGAGGCCAAGTCGGAGTTTCCATGCAATGATTGGGAATATCCAGAGCACAAGTTCGAATCCCCCTCATGGGGTCTGACAGCTGAGTGGATAGCGCTCGGAATTCGTAGTCTTAAGGTTCTGGGTTCGATCCCTGATGGAGGCAGAAATAAATGGGCAGGGATTTCTTTCACCATGATGCTCCTGTTCACCTAAAAGTAAATAGGTACCTGGGAGTCAGACAGCTACTACAGGCTGCTTCCTGGGAGTGTGTAACAAAAAGGAGGCCCGGTCAAGGACTGGGCCGTGGGAACACTAAGCCCCGAAATCATCTCAAGATACAGTAACCTCAAGAAGATGGCTCCTACCGATTTTCTCATTGACACATCATGTTAAGTGTGATTACTCTCTGTGGAGAGGGAGTGTTACCACTGTGCCACAGGGACTGCACAGGGTTTTGGTTTGCCTACCTTTCTGGCTGCTTTCCTGATGGTGGCAAGAATGATCAAACTTTAAATGCAAAGTTTTCACACGCCATCGCTCCCAGCGCCTCTCTAAGTGGACCAGGTTCTGGCTCCTGGTTCCTGTTAGGCCAATAAGAACTCTGCAACTGATGGCTCCTGATAGTATGGCACTGATCAGTTACAAGATAGCTTCAGGGAGCCGGCGGGACTTCCCCCAGAAATAAAGTACTGAGAAGGAATGCATTAGCTGATTTTCCTAATGGCAGTGATTGCAGATTTATGAATTCATAAAAATACTTTATAAATTTTTGTTTAATAATTAAACTGTAACACTTACCATATACTGTCTCTCAGTGACTTTGCCACAGCAGCCACATAAATAGCCAGATCTCCATATAGATATATGCAAAGCACAACATAAAACACCTTGTCCCAAACTGGAAAGAAAGAAATTTTTATATTGTATACACACAGAAATCACAATAGCGTGATGCATCAAATGAACAAATCCACAAGGGCCGTGATGAGGGCTCGAACTTACACTCGGGATGATTCCAAACGCTGCCCGAGTCGACTAGGCCACAACATGGTTAAAAGAATTGCAACTGGGAATTCCACTGACTTCACACGGATCCTGCAGCCTCTTCAAAACACAAACCAGGGTTTTTACACAATTCCCCCATGCACTCGGGCTCTGCCAACAAGCTGTTCTACCTCTTCGCCCTCACTTCAATACACACAGAAATCACAATAGCGTGATGCATCAAATGAACAAATCCACAAGGGCCATGATGAGGGTTCGAAATCCCAGGCGTAAGTTCGAACCCTCATCACAGCCCTTGTGGATTTGTTCATTTTATATTGTATGTTATACTTAAATATAATGTCTATGGTATTTGGACAAATTAAACAATTACAGTCTCTGTTCCAACTATTAGTTTTAAATACATTCTTTGTGTAAAATTGTCCAAAATCAGGTACCTGCACCAGTTAATAAAAAAAATAACTAAGTGAGTAGTACAGTATACAAATTTGGGACACATATGGCATTACAAATAATGGGGAATAATTGCAAGAATGGATGGCAGAACTGCATACTCATAGCAATGCAGTTACAGAGACAAATAATAATGTAACAGAAAATGCAATATTTCCAACAGGATAACAAGACTGGAGCTTAGAGAAGAATAAAGATTCGAAAGGTAATCAATCAGCACAATTTTATACTAGGCATGATAACACTGAGGACCATGAAGGTAGTGGTAGGTGTTATTTACAACCCTCCATTAACAACAGAAAGGTCAAGGGCAGAATATGATAAATGCAATGAAACATGCCTATAGATAGTAGAAAAGGCAGCCACAGTGGCAAGGAGAGTCAGAGCCAGAGCAAAGATCCTAATATTTGGTGATTTTAACCACAGGGAAACAGACTGGTCAAACACAGTAACCTCAAATGAAACATCAAGAACAGGATTTGTGGATTCTACAGACAAACACTTCTTAAGGCAGCAAATCAAGGAGCTGACAAGAGAAAGAGGTGTTGATCTACCAGTTATATTAAACCTGGTGTTTATGACCAGGTTTAATATAAGAAAATGAAGAAGACATAGAGAACTTAAAATATGAGGTGCCATATTTTGGCACTTTGGCACATATTTTGCCAATACAGATCACTGTATTACTGTTTGGTTACATTGTAAAACTAAAAGAGACAGTTGGAAAGATGACAATAAGCAAGAGAGAGAATACAGAAGATAGACCTACAGAAAGGTTAAGGATTATTTATAGGAGGTTCAATGGAAGACTGAAATAGAAGGAAACTAGCAAATGTGTGATGTCTTCTCTCCCATCCACTGTTATGATCACCTGCCCTCGCCTCATTTTTAGCTTTGAATCTTTGTGCTGGTCCATGTTTCTAAACTCCTTTAATTTGCCTCTTAAATGTCTTTTACTGCTGTTTTACTGTGAGGTCTGGAAAGATGTAAACTTTGTTAGTCCCTTACAGATCTTTTAGTTTAGGTGCACTATTGAGTATCCTCCTCCTGTGCTCAAGATTTGCAATGGTTATGTGTACAAGATTTGCCTGAGACTACATTACTTTAATGATTTGCTTAACATTCTTACTCTCTTCCTTTGCAAGGTTTCTTATAAAGAGTTTTTTTTACTTTTTTTATACAAAGTTATTAAATATCTCTTCAGAGCTTCTAAATCCCAATCTTTAACTCTACCTGAATTCACAGTGTTCCTGAGTGTTTGATTACCCTCCAACTGCTATTTACTGGTTGTTGTTTTGTTGTCATTGAGAAAATCTGTTTTGTCATTGCCTTCAGAATCCCTCCTGAAGTTCTTTTATTATGTCATCAGTATCTTTACGTCTGTTCTCATTTCTCTCATCTATTCCCAATGGCATTGGTGGGTTCCACAAGTAGGTCTTTACCAAGGTTATTGCAAGTTAAGCAGTCAAAATTAAAAGGGTGTTTGCCTAAGCTGAATGGTGCCTCTTGGTCATTAACCTCTGATATAGTGGTGCCTGGTGCCTGGTGCCTACAGGAACACCACACTGGCTATTGTTAGATTCCTCTTCAAAAACTTGGTCACCATTATCAGTCGTTTTCCAACTTTTTTCGGTTATTGATTAGTCTAATCTATTACTTCACTCACTAAGCCAGGCTGTAGAGACTAATTATGCTGTATTATATTATTTTCAATGTACAGTACTTTAAATCACTAGTCGGTAAGTTTCAGCTGTAGCACTGAGTCAAGGCCACTCACACAGGAATCCAAACACTTAACAAAATTATGCCTCTTTCTGCCACATACAGAACACTAGTGTCATTAGATCGGTGCTCTAGCAAAAAGCTGGGTAGCTTCCGGGACATATCAAGACACTTCTTCACGGTTAACAGAGACTGGTTTGTTATGGTTTTGGTACAGGCATTGTGGTTATTGATAAGTCTTGTTGGCAACAGTCTTTTTTTTTCCCAGTCGCTTTTCAGCCGCTTCCCCACAGAACGTCAGTCTGGTTCAGCATTTTAGCAGTTGGTTGGGGATTAGTGGTTCTTGTTCTGTCTTTGCCCTTTTCCCCCATATAACATTAGCCTCACTTTTGTGGTTTATGCTCTGCTATCATGGGTAATTCCTTCGAGGTAGGTGAGTCGTTTGCCTGGTTCAGCCTGCCCTTACTGGAGTCTGCACATTGGTGTTTCATTTTTGGATCTACTTCTGGTATTCAGCTCAAGGAAATAACCAATTGACATACTCAAGAAGAAAAAAAAAAAGACTTGAAATTTTGATTAATTAACTTTCTTACCTTTAGGATAAAATAGTTCTGCCATCTGTCCCATCTCAATCTGCTCCTGAATGGCATAGTATTCACCAACTGTTCTTTCTATTACTCCCTCTGAAAAAAATTAAAATTACTAATCTAATGCAGAGAATAAGTCACAATAACATGACTGAAAACAAATAACCCAACCCACACACAAAATGTTAGGAAATAATAATAATTCATAATAATAATACATTAATTCATTGTATTGGAGGGACAGGCAGCCAGAGTGTATTCATACAAGTTAGGCTTTGATCGAGGTCCCCTTCCAAGGTCGAATTACTGCCCCTACTCAGGATCCAACCCTACAACAAGTGGACTAACTCCTGAGTACCTACTTACAGCTAGGTGAACAGATGCATTAGGTGATAGAAATGTACCTAACCATTTTTGTCCCACCCGGGATTCGAACCCGGGATTCTCAATTGTGAGTCGAGAACGAACCAGACTGTACTGCAGGGACCCGGCAGTACAGTCTTAACCACTGCACTGCGTAATGCGCCATGAGACTCTCGACGGGGGGTGCGTAACGCACCTTGGGGATCTTATAGGTATAGCGTATCATTCAAAACTCCTGGGGATACATGGAGTTCACATCAGCTTCCTCAGGGCTCTCCTAAACAGACGCCATATAAAAAAAAATCGTGGGCAACATTCCCGAGTGTGAAGGCCTTAGTACTGAGTGAGCAACCAAGGCTGGCACACGCAGCATGAGCTAACATCATTGTTGCTCAGCTGCTCAGCTCAGCTTTTGCAGCTGACCACAGCATCGCCTAAAATTTTCCAAATATATATGTATCTGGTATTATTTAGCCATGATAGTATTACAGATGAACCTGACTGTGATAAAGACTGTGTACAATATTCAGATATCAGTGAATAAATGCTGTTCAAGATGTTCACAGCGCTAGCTACAGCACTGCCATTATTTCGTCCATCTAAAATTCTTCAAACAATTTCTCATGTTCCTTTACAAAATAAACATGTGAAAAATTATTCATTTACATGATTTAGTGGCCATGATTCTGATAATAGCAGGATTGTGGTGAAAATTAGCGATGTGAATTAGCGGTGGGAGGAGTACTGTTGGTGAGGGAGGGAGGGAGGGAGAGGTGGCGTCGGCTGTTGGCTGGTGTGTGGCAGCATGATTGTCTGGAATCATCATACCAGCTTAGTGGTTTGCTATGGTGAACACAAATGTAGATACTTATATATAACATGTGTACAGAGTGTAATAACAGCTAAAGGCTTATGTTGGGAGGAGCCATTTAGGTGAGGGAGTGAGTGAGGCTGTCATCTGCTGTGTGACTTGTCATCCAGTGGCCACTATTCTGTTTGGACACTACCAGCTTATTAGTGTAGTTATGGTGAATAAAACATGTAGATACTTATATATAATGTGTGTGTGTATAGTGTGATAACACCACAAACAATATTGTGGGAGGAGTAACGTTGGCGAGTTTGGTGTTGAAGGAGTGAGGGAGGGCTGGCTGGGTGTGGCAGCCCACTCTTGTTTTTTGGGCTCACCATACGAACGTAGTGGTTCGTTATGGTGAACACATACGTAGATAAGCATATACAATATGTGTATATAGTGTAATACTCTGTAACAGCAAAAACACTGTTTGATTGATCATAGAATATAATATACATGTCACATACATGAGCCCCATAATTTTGAGCATAGCGATGTTCCACATATTGAACTATATAAATTCCATAAATTACACACTTTTGAATAATATTACAGCATGAAACCTGAGAAGAAATGAATATCCATTATTTGAAATGGGGAATTTTGTTTCGCAAAACGAGCGTTTCACATGACGAGCTCAGTGCCGGAACGGATTAAATTTGTTGACCGAGGTTCCTTTGTACTGTATAAAACCACCATCATCACTACCCCATTTCCTTCTTTATTTGGATGGGCAGCCCATTATTGGTTAGATTATACAATTCTAGTTACACAAGACTTTTATCTGCCTACCAGGAACAAGGCCCAGAATCTTGTCCCTTCTATAAGGTTCATGACATTGGAATCAGAGATCAACTCAATGCTAAGGCATGTTTTTTAGATACACTGAACCACCAAAGCAATGCCACCCCCCCATCCCCTTCTCCACACCACCAGGTGGTGTGAATAACAAACTGCCATGGGCAAGTAAGAGGAGAGCAAGAACAGGACACTACTGTACTAAGATTATCACATAAAGGTGCATTTCACTGCACTCAATGCTTTATTTCTGGACACCTTCCCTCATTAGCTTCCCTTAGGTAATCACCACAATGTTTCACATGATAAAACTGTTTATCCACAAGAAACTGAAACCAAAAAGGCAGAATGACAATGGTCAAATGATCGACTACAGGTAATTCACAAAAACTAGCACGAACTTGTTCACTCCACCTTCTCCTTGTTTGGGGTAGGAGGAGTGGAGCCCGAGGTCAGCAGGCTTGTCCACCCTTGGCTCTAGATGATGCAAATACAGTACCCCCCAATGCTCTAGGGGGTGTCAGGTGTCGGGGAACCACAGGAGCTCACCTAGAAATTGGCCTTTCATCACATGCAATGCTGGTTTTCTGAGGGGAGCTACTTGTGGCTCCCTGAAGCTCACTACTCATGGAGTGCATGAAGGTAACAACAAAGAGCCGCCACCAGCCACAACACATGATGCAACTATGGCCAAATGAACCAAGCATCAATAACCAATGGACCCCTTCGGAAGCCAACCAACTCATTCTTTGCCAGAAAAGAAGGTGCCTTTTCTCGCTGCAAATGAACAAACCACCCATCACAGCCAAAAGAACAAAAGCCCTGATGCCGGAGGAAAGATGAAGCTCGCCCACCCGACAACTGGAGGCAAAAGAAACCATGAACAATGCATTAAAAAACAATCCCTGACCAAATAGGACACCGTAAAACGACCAGACGAAAACGACCAGACCAGAAAAGGAAAAAAACACTGTCGCGAGACCAAGCAGGTGCAGGCAGCACATGAGCAGGCTGGAAGTGAAACAATGCACGAGACAGCCTGCAAAACAGACCCAAGGTAGTACAAACCCTGAAAACAAGCTGCAACAGTTCCTCCGATGCTGCACAATACAAGATAACGGTATCTTGTATCAGGTCACCTGATCATCATAAAGATGGCACTAGGTTCACGAATTTTAAATCGTTTGCTTACATTCTTGAGAGTTCTTTTGAAAGTTTTTGAAGCTGTGGTCTATCTTATAACCAGCAGTGGTCAGTTTTGGTTTGCTGACTTTCTGGGTAATTTCCCTGGTGGTGGCAGACAGGAACTTTGCATATGACAAACCAAAGTTCTGCCTGATATACTACGCACATCACTAACTCTAGCCACAATGCTACTCTTATCAGAATCCTGGTCACTAAACCATAAATATGAATCATTTTTCACATGTTAATTTTCTAAAGAAACATGCAATCCCATTTTGTGATGCACATACACATCAACCCATTGCTATGTGCTTTTGATGTCTTTCTCGAGCTGTGAACATCATCACCAGCATTGGGCAAACTGATATCCAAATCTTGCACATAGAATACCCTGACAACAATTTAAACTATGTCACTATCATCAATATATAAATGAAGTTACTTATTTATTACATCATCGTAAGTGACGCTGTGGGCACACGCTGGACTGTTTTTAACTGGTGCTGCATGTGTTACTCATGGTTACTCTCTTTAGTACTGTACTTAGCTCCTCACACCCAGTACAGATGCCTACAATTTGTTTTCCAAGATGGAATCTGTTTATTAGAGGCCTGAAGAAGCAGATTTGAGCCCTGAGTACCCTCAGGAGTTTTAAATCTTACAAGGTAATTGAAAAGATCCCTGACTGTGTCTCAGAGTTTAAGGATAAATGGCAAGAACATCCCTGGTTGTGTAGTAAGGGAGGTCAAAAGGAAAAGGTTTCCCTCACCTGTTATCAGTGGTGATTCCTCTTCGTGGTCATCTTGGTCCTCTGACGTGTCAGTAGATCGTAAGTCAGCTTCAGCATTTTCTAACGTTCTGTTCACCAGCTCATCTGCCACTTGACCCCGCTGCAAACATTCTCAACTTAATTATCTCACCTTCCAATTTTTATAACCACTGTGAAAACAGTCATAACCATACAGTACTTTATTATATAATATAAGACATTTGTACAGTTCTAATTACAGTAAAACCATTAAGTGTGCAAAAGGAAAATTTCAAAAATTAACAGGAACACAAGATAAAAATTAAAAATTTGTCAAGAACCTTTGCCTTAACGTTGACTCCTTTATGGTGGTAACCTTATGGCAGATAATGTCTTTTGTCTTAACATAAGAAGGTGCACAGAAAATATTGCCCTGCCAAGGAAAATGTGGCATCACTACAGTATTCAGTTTGAACAACCTTGCAGAGGGATGTGCAAATATACATTCAAAAAAGGGCACCCCATAGTTGCTAATAAGATGACTGTAGCTACAATCCATCTAATTGGTTCAAAATTATATTTACAGCCAAAGCAACAAGGCATTATTTGCTTGAATACAGGTACAGCTTATCCCATTAGAAGTACTTAGTACTGTATTTTCAGGTTTGGAAGAGGAAAATGAGAAGGAGCCTAAAGGGAAAGGGGGGGGGGAGGAGGGAAGACAGTGAAGGGTGGAGGGGGGGGGGGAAGGTGAGAGGAGAAGGGAATAAAAGAGGGGGGAGGGGGAGGGGTTGCTGTGGCTGGCAATGGTACTTACTCATTTACTCATGACCTATTCTAAATATTTGTTGAGTGTTAATGTCTGGTGTTCACTGTAAATATGGTATCAACAGTACAGGAAGTGTTCTTGAGGTTTTATTAGTGATATTTTGTGTGAAGACCAAGAGAGCTTTGCAGCAGGCAGCATTAGTATCAAGGAGTCACAAGTTGCCAAACATCCTTTCACCCTCCCCAACCCTCTACCCCCCCCCCCCCTTCTCCTCCAGTAAGGCAACTTATCATTTGTATTGCCTTCCACCATCTCCTCCCCCCCTCTCCTCTCTGGTCTCTCCTGCCTCTACACTTTTCATGTCTCTAAACCCCCACCCTTCCTCGCCTCTATACCCTTCCCCCCACCCTTCCTCACTTGGCTTTTCCTCGTCATCTTCCTTGCATGCTATTTTGGCCATTATACCCAGATTTCCTGCAGCATATAAGGCTATGCAACTAAATACAAAGAACATGTCAAGTGCAAACAAATGGTCTATGCTAATGTTAATCAGTACTCACCTAGTTGTGTTTGCGGGGGTTGAGCTTTGGCTCTTTGGTCCCGCCTCTCAACTGTCAATCAACTGGTGTACAAATTCCTGAGCCTATTGGGCTCTATCATATCTATATTTGAAACTGTGTATGGAGTCAGCCTCCACCACAACACTACTTAATGCAATCCATTTGTTAACTACCCTGACACTGAAAAAATTCTTTCTAACGTCTCTGTGGCTCATCTGGGTACTAAGTTTCCACCTGTGTCTCCTTGTTCATGTTCCACCCGTGCTAAAGAGTTTGCCTTTGTCAGGGGCCTCGTAGCCTGGTGGATAGCGCGCAGGACTCGTAATTCTGTGGCGCGGGTTCGATTCCCGCACGAGGCAGAAACAAATGGGCAAAGTTTCTTTCACCCTGAATGCCCCTGTTACCTAGCAGTAAATAGGTACCTGGGAGTTAGTCAGCTGTCACGGGCTGCTTCCTGGGGGTGGAGGCCTGGTCGAGGACCGGGCCGCGGGGACACTAAAAAAAGCCCCGAAATCATCTCAAGATAACCCTGTCAATTCCCCTGAGAATTTTGTAGGTGGTTATCATGTCTCCCCTTACTCTTCTGTTTTCCAGGGTTGTGAGGTTCAGCTCCCTTAGCCTTTCCTTGTAGCTCATTCTTCTCAGTTCCGGGACCAGTCAGGTGGCATACCTCTGAATCTTCTCTAACTTCGTTTTGTGTTTAACTAGGTATGGACTCCAGGATTGATCTTACATAAGTGGTATACAGGGTCCTGAACGATTCCTTACACAAGTTTCTAAAGGCAGTTCTTATATTGGCCATTCTAGCATATGCCACTGATGATATCCTTTTGATGTGGGCCTCTGGGGACAGGTTCGGTGTGATATCAACCCCCAGATCTTTCTCTCTATTTGACTCTTGCAGGATTTCACCTCCCAGATGGTACCTTGTGTTCAGCCTTCTGCTCCCTTTGCCTAATTTCATTACTGTACTTTACACTTTCCTGAATTGAACTTTAGCAGCCATTTTCTAGACCATTCCTCCAGTTTGTCTAGGAGTAATGGACAAACTCCTCTCCATTTGGTAACTACAGAGACTACAGGACGAATGATCGTCCTGTAGTCTCTGTCTATCTTCATCTGTTTTGATTCTCCTCATAATTTTTGCATTATCAGCATACATTGAGAGGAATGAGTCTATACCCTCTGGAAGGTCATTTACATATACTAGAAACAGGATGGGTCCGAGTACAGAGCCCTGTGGAACCCCGCTGGTGACATCTCGCTACTCTGATGCCTCCCCCCTCACCGTTACTCGCTGTTTCCTATTGCTTAGATACTCCCTTATCCACTGGAGCACCTTACCTTTTACTCCTGCCTGCTGCTCCAACTTTTGTAACAGCCTTTTGTGAGGTACTGTGTCAAAGGCTTTCTGACAGTCCAAGAAAATGCAGTCTGCCCACCCTTCTCTTTCCTGCCTAATTTGTGTTGCTTGGTCATAGGCCATAGGCTATTAGGCCTGTGAGGCACGATTTACCATCTCTGAACCCATGCTGGTGGTGTGTGGTGTGTTACAAAGATGTTTCCCTCCAGATGCTCTACGAGCCTTTTCCCTCACAATCTTCTCCATCACCTTTCATGGTATACAAGTTAGGGGTATAGTCTACAAATGAAAAAGACAACTTTTGTTTAACAACTTTTTGTTTAAAAAACAACTTTTGTACCTGAGATCAGGTACCTGATCTTAGGACTTGTAAAAAGCATCTTTAACTATGTAATGTAACATACACCGACTGATTTATAACCAATAGAAAAAATCTGAAAGAACTTTTAAAAGTCAGTTGGTGAAGACAAGGACTAGAATTCCAACAATGTGACACATAAAATTAGGACCCATAACTCCAGCACTAAACATCCTTATTAAATTCTCTCAGACATTACTGTAGCTTTGTAACCTACATCGTCTGTACAGCAGTGCAGTTATACTAGTCGCCCTCAGGTGCTACCAAGTATGTAAAGAATTCTATCGACGCTGGCGTCACTAAATATTTTTCTCCTTTTTCTTCTACAAAACTTCATACCTCCCAAAGGAACACATTCCTAACCTACAAAGTAGAAAACTGGGAGATTACAGTTATGAATGATGACAGTGGTAGTGACAATGAATGATAATGACAAGTGGTTGTGACAATGAATGATTATGACAGTGGTGGTAATAATATTTGAATGATGACAGTGGTGATGGTTGTGACAATAAATAATGATGATGTGGTGGTGACAATGAATGATGAGGATGGTGAAATCATGAAAGATGATTGTGGTAGTACTTGTGACAATGAATAATGACAGTGGTGGTGATAAAGAATGTCAACAGTGGTGCTTGTGACAATTAATAATGACAGTGGTGGTGGTGACAATGAATGGTGACAGTACTGGTGGAGGTAATAATGACTGATGATGACAGTGGTGGTGATTAAACTATCATCCTTCCCACACTATTACACCATACCATATTTACCTTAGAATTTCTATTAAAACATATATTATTGTACAAAATAAAACACAAAATACCAGTGAGTAAGAGTTCTACAGGTGAAGGCACCAGTAGCATAGATGACGAGTTCATAGTGTTGGACACATTGTATATCAAGTGGTAGTATCATCCCACTGTGAACATCCACTTGGCTAAACAAGGTATTTACTACTAAGTTCTTATCCATTGCTCAGATCAGTATTAAAAATTGATATCACCACCCTGTGACTAAAGGACTACAGAACTAATAGTAACTGTGGTGAAAACACTAGTGCCTGATAACCACTATTGTTGGTGCAATATATCCATTGTATTATTTACTAACAGAAACATTTGTGAACTAAAAGAATAACTGTTCATGGCAGTAAACAAATAACAAGCTTCTAATAAAACATTCAAGAGAGAAATGAGGGAAAACGACTAGAAGTCACAGTAAAGCACAAAAAAGAGACGGCACTGAGAAAGCACAAAATACCAAGATGGACGTCATCGAAGTCAAAGAGTTGTCAGCAGCATCCTGGAGGCATGGCGAGGCAGTGCTGGTACAAGTGGCAGTGAAGGTGGAAGCAGAAATGGTGGTAGTTGTGCATAAAGACTCTAACAAAGTATCTGCTGGTGGTGGTGGTGATGGAGGTGGGGAAATGTGCTGTAAGCAATGGTTTTGATAACCAAGATGATGGTCTGGAGAGGAGGCAAAAGGCACCTTCTTGAGCTGCTTCATCCGTCGCCAGTGGTTGATGGCGTTGGCACACGCCATGCTCTCCACAACCCACGTCGTCGTCATGTAGCTGAAACATATAATCAAGTCTACTACAGTATTTGTCAACACGTAAGAAGCATAAATTAATCAGTTATAACACCCAAGATATAATTCATTATAATACAAAACAATTTATTCTAACAAAACCGATATTCTAACAAAACTTGGCTCCAAACCACACATTGTTTGAGTTAGGAAAATATTATTTGTCAAATATAGATATTGTTCTTAAAAGATTCCCCATTTTGCACAATCAAGATAAATTAGTACTTAAGGGTTGACAAATGTTAAACTTCTTGTTTCATTTCAGACAGTTAAGCACGTCCTAGATATGTCTGGGTGCAAGTGACAGGATGAACATCCCAGCGGGTTTTCTTCCTATTGGGGAGTGTTGTACATACTGCTATGGCGGTGTGTCCACTCACAGGATGAGTGGCGCTGCCCAACAAACTCGCCCCTCGGGGCAAAATTTTAATTTACAGTAATTTAATATGTTTTGTCTCTAATATTTGTTAGAGAGACTCGAGTCTCTCTCCCTACACTCGCCTGGACTCTTATCTACAAGGTATCTAACATATAAACACCCCCAAGGCCTCCAGCCCTCGACGAATCCATAACATATTAGACGGGTGACACTTATGTTTACCCATACTTGAAGATGATCTTAGTTATGAGTAGCAATTAATTATCTGTTTACCAAGACTGTCACCCTTGGCTCCAACGCGCCAAACCTGACCCCCTAGTCCTATAGCGAAGGGGAGGAGGAGAGAGAATGAAACTCGGAAAAGGGAGAAGGAAGGATTAGGAAGGAGGGAATGAGGAGAAATTAGCCGTTATAAGGATTCAACTCGCTCACTTGGTACTCCCAAGCAAGCGCCCTACACCACTACACCAGGACAAGATCTAAACAATGCAACCTTGACAAGAAGCGATGTGACATCTCTTCCCTCTCTGGAAAACGGAAGAGGATCCTGAAGAACATTAATGATAGAAATGTGACCCCTACTGGCACAAAACAAAACCCCCTCTTCAAAGAAATGAAAGATGTCTATACCTTCACTTGGGGACTGTCAGCCCCAACGAATTCAGTATATAGGCAAGACAACAACATCCCTTTCAAGTAGCCTAACACTGCACAAGCAGCAAGGCCCTATTAAGGAACATATAGTCTCTATATCTATGAATAACCAGACCTACGCCAGAGATATCATCACAACACCAGAATAATTGATGGATACTGCGACAACAGAAGACTGGACACTAACGAGGCATTATGCATGGCTTGATTTGCTTAGTGTATAAATAGCCAATTAGCCCCAAATTACACTTCCAAGTTCCAGAACACGACAGAACATACAATATACTGCCCCAGCCTTTATGCAAACAGATTGCCAAGATGTAAGGTATTTTTTCACCTCATCCTCGGGTATACATCATGCAGCAAGACTATTGATTTACAGGCCACCCTAATCTAACCCTTATTGATTTTACGGGCTATTGATGCCCGTGCCACCTCTTGGGTGGCTTAATCTTCATCAATCTCTATTATTTGTAAATTGTCTATATACCTAGCCATAAAAGTATTTGTGTGTACGTCTAGTAACATACTGCATGTGTAAAGGAAGAAATGTATATGTTTATCACTCAGAATGTTCGGTAATATGTTTATTGTTTGAGATGTGTCTACATATATGTATGAACACGATGTACTGAACGGGGTGAGAATAGTTTGATGTGTATTGTGTGTATTTTGTGTGTATTTTTGTGTGTATCTTTGTGTGTATTTTACCTCAATAAACTTATTTCAATTTCAATTCAGTTTCAATCTCTATTGATGAAGATCAAGCCAGCCAAGAGGTGGCACATGACCCTGCCACCTCTTGGCTGGCTTAATCTTTCAACTTCCTTCTCAAATGAAGAAAAAGAGACAAGATTCGCACTAGAATCATTGATCTTAGCCTTATCAAGGATTATATATATATATATATATATATTATATATATATATATATATATATATATATATATATATATATATATATATATATATATACACAAATAATTGTAATATACAAATCCACAGGAATATCAACAAGTGAGGTTAGTCAGCAGAAATTCTCATGACAAAGTATAGGACGTGGTGCTCGGGCAGGCGGCCCTCGTCATCGTCTAGCTGGGTAATGACGTCACCTTCCTAGGCACCGGATTGGCCAGCTTAGTGGCGACGTCATCACACACCTGGTCCAGTCTTGTGCCTCGCCCTTTTCTCATTTGTCCGCCAGGTTTAACAGGTAACGTCACTGACCAATACAGAGAGGCCGGTCAGACCCAGGACCTACGTCACAGGTCTAAGTGACGATTGGGCATTAAGCGAGACACGTTATCGTTCAAGAGAGGCGGGGGGGGGGGGTTATTGTTAGGAGGAAGGGCAGTTAGTTCATCACACGCGGTACTGTCGGCGGGCGTCAGTAATTACCACTTAAATTCTACAAAAATAACAGGCTGAATGGGAACAGTCTGACGGACCTGTCACGGGCCAACTGTGGGACCTGTCACGGGCCAACTGTGGGACCTGTCACGGGCCAACTGTGGGACCTGTCACGGGCCAACTGTGGGACCTGTCACGGGCCAACTGTGGGACCTGTCACGGGCCAACTGTGGGACCTGTCACGGGCCAACTGTGGGACCTGTCACGGGCCAACTGGGGGACCTGTCAGGGCCAACTGTGGGACCTGTCACGGGCCAACTGTGGGACCTGTCACGGGCCAACTGTGGGACCTGTCACGGGCCAACTGGGGGACCTGTCACGGGCCAACTGTGGGACCTGTCACGGGCCAACTGGGGGACCTGTCACGGGCCAACTGGGGGACCTGTCACGGGCCAACTGAGGGACCTGTCACGGGCCAACTGGGGGACCTGTCACGGGCCAACTGGGGGACCTGTCACCGGCCAACTGTGGGACCTGTCACGCTAATGTGTCAAATGCTAACCTACCAGAGGACCCAACAACAGAAAACGGGTCATTATGTCAATTTCGAGAGCGGCTGCCAGTTTACAATACGACAGTTTTTGGACCCAAGTCCCTGTGACGCAGTGGTAAAGCACTCGCCCGGCGCTACGCGAGCGCTTTGGCCTGGGTGCGTATCCTGGCCGGGGAGGATTAACTGGGCACCAATCCTTAACTGTAGTCTCTATTGACCCAACAGTGAACGGGTATACCTGGTTGTTAAACGATTATGACGGGTCGTGTTCCGGGGGAAAAGTAGCATTAAGGACCTGCGCGAAACGCTGCACGTGATAGTAGCTTTGCAAGAATATAAGAACTCTTGAATATATAAAAAAAAAATTAAAACGCATACGTCAAAATGCGACGTGCTATAAGGAGGACTTGCGTATGTGAGCGACGGTTGGTGTTGTCACCGCCCAAGTTGTTGTGTGGACCCGCCACACACCACCCCTACTGCCCCCCCTCAACCCCCACACTACAACCACCACCCTCCCTCCCTCACTACAACACCCCCGTCACCACCATAACAACCACCTTCCCCAAAATTTCAAGAGGTATGCCACCAGACTAGTCCCAGAACTGAGAGGTATGAGTTACGAGGAAAGGCTACGGGAACTAAACCTCACGTCCCTGGAAGACAGAAGAGTAAGGGGAGACATGTTCACCACCTACAAAGTTCTCAAATGAATTGACAGGGTGGTCAAGGAGAAAGTATTTAGCATGAATGGAACACGAACCAGAGGATACAGGTCGATACTGAGTACCCAAATGAGCCATAGAGACATTAGCAAGATTTTTTCGGTGGCAGGTTAGTTAACAAATGAAATAAAATAATAAATAAATAAATAAATGTTTATTTAGGTAAGGTACATACATACAAGAAATTTTTACAAAGATTGGTGGACTTATAGATAGAGCTAGTACATACAATGCCTAAAGCCACTATTACGCAAAGCGTTTCGGGCATCAGACATTGATGTGGTGGAGGCTGACGCCATACAGTGACTGTATGGATTGTCAAACTACACTTGAAACTGTGTATGACATACACAGTTTCAAATGTAGATATGATAAAAGAGGCCAACAGACTCGGGAATCTGTACAGCAGTTGACAGTCAAGTGGTGTGAAGCACAACTAGGTGAGTACCACCGCTGGTGTACGCCCCATGGACCACCCTCCCCCCCCCCCCCCCCCGCCACCCACCCAACACCCAATGCGTCGGTTAAATGACGTCACGATGGCTTCCACAGTGATCACCGCCCCACCCCGCCCCCCGCCCGCCACACCATCCGGTAACGTCTGCATCATTTCATTCAAAACTTGCTGCCTCACGAGGGCCGGTGTACTATAACACCGTGGCCGTGAGGCGAGGGGGCACCACCCCCCCCCCCCCCCGGGTCTACAGCCAGGCCAACAAGCCTCACCAGCTCACCACCACTATACTGGGTTGTGGACAAGATGGTGGAGAGGAAGAGGAGATTGGAAAAAGATATAGATATGGAATATAGTTCAAGTTATTTTAGCAGGTGCCGGGGGCTGGCTGCCTTGTTGGCGGCAGTTGAACTTCCTCTCTCTTGCCAGAGACTTGCCAGTGTGTGTAAGCTCTTCACACACCAAACTTCTGTTCATCCTTAAAATCCAGCATGAAAAAAATCATCAGAACAAATGGGAGGGGGGACCTTTGACAAGCCGCCGGCTTCCTATCCTCGTCGAGGCCACTAGTGCGTTAGTGGCCCTCATGTAAATTCAGGTAAATCTTTCAACATGTATGATTTATCCATAAAAGCTACACACCACTCACGTACGGAGAGAGCGAGCTAGGGGTGTGGGGCATCCTAGAGCACACAAGCCTCCCCACAACCTCAAGGGCTTTCTCAAAGCCAACAGGAAACTATTGTGTTTCTTCACAGGACGAGGGACAGGTAAACAGATTCCTCGGATAGTATGTTAATACATTAGGCACTTATATCATGAAAAATAATACATAGTTTATTAATCGTGTAAGGGGGTCTTAAAGGGCA